ATAAGAAGATAGAAAGACTGGACACAGATGATTTGGATGAGATTGAGAAAATAGCCAACTGAGAAGCTCCACCAGTCACTGGTGCCCACCCTGGCACTGCCCCTGCCTGGAAGACTAGTGCTTTCTCAGCACAGGCCTGGACAGTCACCACAACTACGAAGGCATGAGCAGAGAACCTACCTACCTCATTTTAAATTACGTTTGGACTTGACCAAAATTTCTGCAAATGATGGGGGACGGTAGAAAAAAATTGTTTACACAACTTTGGAAGATTAGGCGTGAATACACAGAAATTTACCTTTTGGAAATTTCGTCCCTTTTTTTGGCCAGCATTTCCCACATCATTATGATAATCTAGATGCTGTGGTGAATTATTTCCGTAGGATGTCCTGTGGCAGGTGCTGCCTGTTTTCTGGCTTGGAATGTGCATCCAGCCCCAGCTTGTATGGAAGTGACAGAATAGAAGGGAAGAGGGAACAGAGAGAGGCCCACAGTAGGAGAGGTGTGTTAGCCTGGCCATCATGGTGGGTAATGGCATGAGGCAACAGAGGCCTATGAGCTGCTGCTTTGGACTTAGGGTGGGTCAACTCATTTGAGGATTGCCAGCTGCCTCTGTTCTAATGCCCACCATAGGAAGAGACTTGCTAAGCATGGAGCAGATGCCAACCCCTTGGGCCTGTGCGTGTGCATTTATGTCCGGCTATGACCTGTTCTCAGTAGGTGTAGTCCGTGTATAGTGTATATCTGATTATTAATGGGCCTCTGGCTTGTGCTTGAACAAGTTCTATGGAAAAGTCATTGTTGAGAATTAGTGGTGGCCCTAGTTTGCTACAAAACTTGGTCTCATGGGCACTTACAGCATGCTTTTTACATCCTTAAAATTGCTTGACCCCATGGCTGGGCACCTGTAACTCAATGGTTAGAGCACTGGCCCCGTGAACCAGGGGTGGCAGGTTCAAACCTGGCCAGGGCCTGCTTAACAAACAACGCAAAACATTGCTTGACCCCATGGTATCCCTAAGCAAATGAAAGGTCATCTAGGGTTTGGATCCTCTAAGAAAATTGTGGTTTAAAGTCTCTAATGGCCACCCCCAAACTCCAGACATGGTCAGCAGTATTCTAAGAAGGCAAGTTTTGTCAGAGCTGGGATGATTTCAGATACTTGACATCTTTTTTGTTTTGAAGAGTTGGGGCCTTACTGCCTTGCCTAGGCAGGTCTCAAACTCCTGAGCTCAAGTTGTCCTCCCCCCTCAGCCTGCTGAGTAGCTGGGATTAGAAGCATAAGTCACCACACCCAGCTCGGCTTCTTGATTATAAAGGAAATCTGAACATCTTTGTTCACAGTGCTTGGAATACAAGTAGGCGTCACTGAGGGATTGGATGGACTATGGCCATTCATCTGTCCAAGGCAAGAGTATCACCAAGGAGGAACCCTCCATCCTTCCTTGGCATCTTTTGCAGCATAATCAGGGTGGACAGCAATACTGGACACTTCCTCATATTTGGCTAAGGTTGTTGGTACTCACAGAGTAACAGCAAAGATGGAATGAAACTGAATTGCAAGAGCAATAATTAAACTCCAGCCAAAAGGAGTCCTCTTTAACTCTTTGGTGTTGACACAGAATGGCCACTTTATCTAAGACCTGGAAGAGGAATTTTATGTGATGAGAATTACTGTGATCCCATATCATCATTGTAGGCATTTCTGTGTTTCAGGGCCAAATTTGTCTCCTTGGGAGGGAAGAGGCCAACGTCAGCCTCCAGGTGGTTTTGTGTGTATGTGTGTGTGTGGTTTCCTTAACCTGACATTGCAAAAGAGACCAAACAGACTACTAATTCTGCCTCATTCCCTTGCGGGTGGGTACTAGGCTACTCTGATCTACTCTGGGACTCATCTTAGAATTCTTGAATAGAAGAAAATTTTTTTAAGCACCTCATCAGTCAACTTGAGAGAAGAAATTTTTATGCTCTTTCTCCCTTGAAGCCCTGTGGACCAACCATGAACTTAGTGAAAACAAGAGCAATAATTAAATATAGATTCGTCACTAAGTCACAAGCTGACTACACTCCCGTCTTCTCACAACACATAACCTGTCTATTGTAGCCCTCAGACTGAGAAGGAAAATGGGAAGGGGTGTGCTGCAGACTCTTCAGTAATAGGAGGACCATGGGTAGCAGCTAGAAGCATAGACCAGCAGTTCTTAATCTGGGGTCCTGGACCTCTTAACAATTCACTGGATGGGTTTCATGGCATCTATGAAGTACGTGCAGCAGTTTGAGTATAAATTTATTTTGCTTGGGAGACTCCCAAAGGAGTATGTGTCTTTTGAAAAGGTAAGACCCACTGTTGTGGAGGCTCTGGAAAGTCAGCCCAGTGTCACTGTAGTTACTATTCCTGCCAGTGCTGTCCTCTTGGGCAGCACAGTGAGATCAGGGATGTAAAAGTTTACTGAACTTTTGGGAGTTTTGGTCCCCAAGTGTTTTTTTACTGACTTTAGCAGGTTCCTATATAGGAAATGATAAACTTTCCTGGAACATAGGAATTTTGGAAAAGGAAATTTTAGTCTGGTGGAAAACTCTGGATATGTTCATTATCCATAAACAGTGGATTTTGTTAAGTTCTTTTGCGTATCATTCATTGACTGTATGCATAAGAACTAATTGTTGGTGTATTCTTTATTGATGTTAATTGAACTTAATTATGAAGTGTTCATGTTACTCAGACATCATTAATGAGTATGGGAAAGAAACAGCAGCATGTTTTGGTTGGTGGGATTAGTAATCACATATAAGTGGGGAGTCACCTCTTATTCCATAGGCTACTTATGACCCCATATTACTGTTGTGTATCAGAGTCGACATTGCTCCAATGTGAGCAATTGGGATGTCTCCATAGGCCAACAGCCCTGCTCAATTGCTAGAGGTCTGTTCACATTCCTTTTTTTCTGCTGGTAAACCAGAGGATGCAGGCTCACTACTAAAGTATCATCAGTTTCCAGAAGGGAAGATTTCTGAGGTTAGAGAAAATTTCAATGAAGGAATGGTGTTTTCTTTTTTTTTTTTTTTTTTTTTTTTTTTTTTGAGACAGAGCCTCAAGCTGTCCCCCTGGGTAGAGTGCCATGGCATTACAGCTCACAGCAACCTCCAACTCCTGGGCTCAAGCGAGTCTCCTGCCTCTGCCTCCCAAGTAGCTGGGACCACAGGCGCCCGCCACAACGCCCGGCTATTTTTTGGTTGCAGCCATCATTGTTGTTTGGCGGGTCCGGGCTGGGGATCCGAACCCGCCACCTTAGGTGTACGTGGCTGGCGCCTTAGCCGGTTGAGCTATAGGCGCCGAGCCAGGAATGGTGTTTTCTTGAGAAAAGCAGGATTCCAAATGACAAGAATAGTGCCATAGGCAGGAGAAAGGCAAAAAAATAAAGCAAGTTTACCAGGATAAATGAAGTGTACTGGAGGGGTAATGAGAAGAGCAGTCTGGCCATACAGGCAGAGAAAAGTATTTTTAGGTAGAAAATGAAGATTTGATTGTTTAAATGGTGTCTTAGTCTATTTATGCTGCTGAACAAAATATCTGAGACTGACCTAGTAATTTATAAAACCTCTGAGTTCCAAAGGCTCAAATGAAGGTGCTGGCAGGATTGGTGTCTGGTAAAGGCTGCTGCTTCCAAGATGGTACCTTGTTTCTGCATCTTCTGGAGTGTCCGTTGACTGGTAGAAGGGACAACAAGCAAAACAGCACTCTCCTTTAGCCTCAAGCTCTTTTATAAGGGTGCTAATCCCATTCGAGGCCCTGCCCCATCACAATACTGTTGTATTGAGGATTAAGCTTCAACATGAATTTTTTGGGGGATACTATTATTTTGGATTTACTAGTAAGTGGTCATAGATTGTATGTTACAGGAAGTGATGAGACTGTTTTGAGGGGAAATTGGTCTATTAGAGATAGGATATACTGGAGGTGGAACAGCCTGGCAGCTGAGAAATCACATTTCATCAGTTCCCTCACAGGTCAGTGTTGGGATGTCATTGCTCATATTGAGAACACAGAAGGCATGCACTGGAAGGATACTGTAGAGGAAGAATGGTAGATTTTTATACTTTCTTCATGTTATTCCAAAAAGGATTTGTAGCTCTTAAAAATTAGTTTCACCTCAAAAAATAAATTCACTATACAAAATAATTCCAGGAAGAAATCCAGAGAAGAGGTTTGGAAAGAACTGACAGCATCAAGGTTGAGTCTCATATATAGTATGTATATAGAGTATATAATGTCAGGCTTGCCACCTTTGCAAGAAGGGACTGGTCCCTTCACCTTCGACCATCACCAAGGAAGCTGTTGTAAATTTCAGGGGCCTTTTTAGGTTTCTCTTGGTCCTGGACATAGACATCAGAGTCTTGGGAATACCCTCAGTTTACATGACTTTGCTTTTTTGCTTGAGAATAGATGTGCCTTAGTCTGTTGCCTGCCTAGATTGCGGCATCTTCCCAAAATGACAACAGAGGGGAGGGCATCTCTCGGGCTGGTGCTAAGTGCCTCCCTGCTTCCCTAATTCTGAGAGAGGTTGTACCTGGTAGGAAGTTAGAGGCCACAGTGCCTGGAAAGTGTTGGATGCTTCCACCTGGGCTTAGATACTGTTCTGGCATTATATTCTGCAGTTTAAGTAGATAGTTGTGAAATGGGGAATAGGAATTGGTGGAGGAAAAGAACATTAGGGGAGCTGAGCACAGTGGCTCATGCTTCTAATCCCAGCTACTCAGGAGGCAGAGGCAAGAGGATCACTTGAACTCAGGAGTTCAAGGCTTCAGTAAACTATGATCGCACCAGTGCACTCTAGTCTGGGTGACAGACTCTTAAAATGTGGAGCCCATCTCTTAAAGTGTTTTTAAATATTAGAGGAACATTGGGCATGGTGGCTCATGCACATCTTTGCAACCTTTCCTACCCCAGCAGCTCTTCCATACCTGATGACTCAAATTCAACCATCACTCCATTCCTCATCCTCCCTCGGTCCTTATGGCCAAAAGTCTTGTGAGCTGCCCTGAGTTCCAGCTCTCCTCCCTCAGCAGTCTGACCTCTGCTCCACCACTCCCCTAGGACCTACTACATGTTCCTAATCCAAAAACCACTTTTTATCTCGGCGCCTATAGCACAGTGGTTACAGCGTGGGCCACATACACCGAAGCTGGCAAGTTGGAACCCAGCCTGGGCCAGCTAAACAACGACAACCGCAATCAAAAAATAGCCAGGTGTTGTGGTGGGCACCTGTAGTCCCAGCTACTTGAGAGGCTGAGGCAAGAGAATTGCTTAAGCCCAAAAGTTTCAGGTTGCTATGTGGGCAGTGCCTGTGGCTTAGGGAGTAGGGCACTGGCCCCACATACGGGAGGTGGCGGTTTAAACCTGGCCCTGGCCAAAAACTGCAAAAAATATATATATATACATTACTGGAAGATTTAGTTTTACGATGGTGCCTGTGGCTCAGTGAGTAGAGTGCTGGCCCCATATAACGAGGGTGGTGGGTTTGAACCCGGCCCTGGGCCAAACTACAACAACAAAAAAGTCTTAAAGAGTTTCAGGTTGCTGTGAGCTATGACGCTACGGCACTCTGTGAGGGTGACATAGTGAGATTCTGTCTCAAAAAAAAAACAAAACCACTTTTTAGTCACTCGTTTTGCCTTAGCAGCATTTCACTATGACAGACACTATGGATGGCTCCTTTCTCCAGCCACTCTTCTGGGGAATAAAGCGACACACCTCACTTCCTCGTCTTCCTTCTCTCTGATCCCTTTTTTTTTTTTTTGAGACAGAGCCTCAAGCTATCCCCCTGGGTAGAGTGCCGTGGCTTCACAGCTCACAGCAACCGCCAACTCCTGGGCTCATGCGAGTCTCCTGCCTCCGCCTCCCAAGTAGCTGGGACCACAGGCGCCCGCCACAACGCCTGGTTATTTTTTGGTTGCATCCATCATTGTTGTTTGGCGGGTCCGGGCTGGATTTGAACCCGCCATCTTAGGTGTATGTGGCTGGCGCCTTAGCCACTTGAGCCACAGGTGCTGAGCCCTGATCCCTTTGAAGTCTCCTCAGCAGACCCTTTTCATTCACCTCCTAAATGTGCCAGTTCCTCATGGTTCTATTCTGTGCCTGTTCTCTTTCCTCTGCCACAGGCAGCCTTGTTCATTCTTGTGGCTCTGTCTGCTGGCAACTCTCAGATGTATACCAAGACCTGATTGTTGAGCTCCAGGGTCATAGAAACAACTGCGTTGACGCTTGTTTTCTTGGAGTCCTGTACTCCACATGTCTAGCATTGAACCCTTCCCCTTACACCACCACCGCCACTCCAGGAGACCCCAGCTCTGCTGTCACTTCTTCCTCCAACTTTACCTCACAAAATGGCATTACAGTGAATTGCCTGTTGCTCAAGCCAGAAATCTGGGATTTATCATGAATCTTCCTACCCGGCAGTCCTTTTGTATCAATAATCCACTGCTGTGTCACACATCATCCCAAAACAATGGCTTAAACGGACAGCCTTTTTCACAATTCTGAGAGTTGTCTGGGTGGCACTGCTGGTCTCTCGCAGGCGCTCTCCTGCAGTTTCCTTCCCCCAGCTGGTGTCTGGACTCAGCTAGGAACTCTGGGTCTCTTACCTTCAATCACAGCATGGTAGGCAGTCTTTGGGTTCCTTAAAGGGAGACAGCAGAGGCTGCAAGGTCTATTGAGGCCTGAGCTCAGAATTCTCCGAGTGTCCATGTCTGTCCTTTCTTTTGGTCAAAGCTAACCACAGGACTAGCCCAGATTCAACAGAATCAACTAGTGGGGGGAAGCCATGGAATATCCGTGGACGTTTTTGATCCACCACACCTATCAATTCTGCCTGGGTCCAAACAAATGATATTCCCAATATTCAGTCACTTTTAGCCTACAGAAGCAGCACTGGTTGAATTCATCCTGGTCTGGTTCATCTTGATTATCTGGCCTGCTACACTAGCTCTCTAGCATGTGCTTGTGTCTCTACTCAGAATTCCCTCCAACTAATCTGTCTCACAACAGCCAGTATGATCTTTGCATACTTTGAGTCTGATAATTCCACTAGCTGCTTAACTTGCCCACCTCATCTGCTTTATGTTCCCCTTCACACTCTCTGCTCCAAATTCCACATGCTGGGCTATGTCACAGAAAAACTTGTGGTCCAGTGTATTTCCTGCCCCAGTTGCTCATCTTGGACGTTTTTCCTGTTCCCACACACTACGAAGCTGAAGCAATTCAAAGAAACTGCCAGGACATGACCCAGTACAGTGGCTCACACCTGGGAGGTCGAGGTGAGTGGGTGGTTTGAGCTCAAGAGTTCCAGACCAGCCTAAGCAAGAGCAAGATCTTGTCTCTAAAAATAGCCAGGTGTTGTGGCTGGCCCTATAGTCCCAGCTACTGTTGTGAGCTGTGATGCCAGGGCACTCTACTCACTTTGGGACAAAGTGAGACTCTGTCTCCCCCCCCACCAAAAAAAACCTGCCAGAACTTATAGGTGAAGTAAAAATTTATATTTTTAGTAGAGATGGGGTCTTGCTCTTGGTCAGGCTAATCTCTAGCTCTGAAGCTCTAGCCAGCCTCCCAGAGCACTAGTATTACAGTCATGAATCACCACACTTGATGGCTAAAATTCACTACCACAAATTTAAAAATTCTCCTAGTGTCACTAATCAGCTGTAACTAAGACAGATAACTTCTTTACTCTGGAGAGTTCATATTCTAGTGGGGAGTGGCAAAAAGTAAACTGGAAGCAAACTAGATGACTTCTGATGGTATAGAGATGCTCACTTAAGTGTTATACATTAATAGTAAAACACTGGAAACTATTTCCAAGGTAGAAGCAGGAGGATACTTAAGTAACATGATAGGAGCTTGATGGACTATTTAAAAAATATTTTTCCTCTTTTTCACACACTGTTCGACTATTATATTGCCATTACAGCAGTAATTGTGACATTGAAAATACTTCATCATATATAAAAGGCTGAATTTAGAATTGCATGTATGCTTTGCTTAGGACCATGTAAAATAACTCTAGTGCGATGCAAATGGACAATGTCTGAAAGGGCCGAGGAGAAAATGAAAATGAAAATGAAAATGCTGTTGTATTTATTGGACTGGTAGAATCATAAGGGTTTAAAGGACTTTTCGTTTCATTTTGGCTTTTATTTTCTTACTACGTTGTCGCGTTCATAGTAGAAACTGGCATCATGAAAAAAGAACTTTCCTTTGTGTAAAGCGCTACAGTTCGTAAAGACTTACTTGACACGTGGCGGGTTAAAAATAAATTTTAGATTTTTCAATGTGAAGTAAGCTATGAGCCAGTAACAGTTTAGCTTTGTAGAGCTCGAGGATCTCCAGGCACAGTAAGAGGCAAGCCCGCGAAAGGTTGAGCAAAAGGAGCCTCTGCACAGGAAGAGGGGCGGGCGCGTAGTGGTGACGTCTCCTACGGGACCGGAACTTACATCACTAGCGCGCCGCCCCCGCTTCCAGTTCTCGTGAGAAGCGTTCTGGCGCGGCTGGCGGGCTCAGGGCCGGTGTAGGTGCGCGGTGCGCTGCAGTTTCTCTTAAGTCGGCCACCCTTTCCCGGGACCATGGCCACGGACTCCTGGGCACTGGCGGTGGACGAGCAGGAAGCAGCTGTCAAGTCGGTAAGTGGCATCAGCTCCAGGCGGGGAGAACGTAGCAAGGGCCCAAGCAGTGCGAGCTCCCTGGGTTGGGCAGGCCTGTGGCCAGCATTATCCTGGAGTTTGCCGCGGCAGTCACTTACCCTTGATTTTCTTCTGGGGCCAAAGAGACCAATATCGAGCGTTTTATGTCCACCTGGGCTAAAGACTTTATCCTGTGATTAATCCGGCGCAGGTGTGTATGCTAGCTTTCGTCTATTGCACCTCTTTCTCCGCGACAGTTGTAAGGAAAGACAAATTTAGATACTAATTTCTTTTTCCTTAAGTGACTGCTCTTTGGGTCTGCCTGTGCTACTCTGTATTTAACATTTCTTAGATGGATGCTTAATGTGGTTGGCAGTTTGTAGCTTTTTGCTGATTTACCGGGTTCAGGTTCAGATTTAACGTTTCAATCTTTTGCAACTGTTGGAGGGAGGCATTGCAAATAGTTTCATGGGGCTTAAGGCGACATTTAGCTTCAAATACTGGTTCTTTGATTAATGAAGATCCACTTAACTGGAGTTGCAAATGGTGGCTTTCTCTTCTTTTTTTTTTTTTTTTTTTTTTTTTGGTGGTAGTTGTCATTGTTTGGCAGGCCTGGACTGGATTCAAACCTGCCAGCTCTGTTTTTTTTTTTTTTTTTTTTATTGAATGGTAACTGTGTACATTGATGCACTTTGGGGGTACAGTGTGGTGTTTTCATAGAAAATCCAAGAGGCTTTCTCTTCTTAATCTAAGACCTAAAGTTTAAGTTTGTTTAGTGTTAATGGACTGTTGGGTTTTAAGAATGTAGACTTTTTTTTGTATTTTCAGTCTTCTATTAACTTTTTAATGCCTATAAATCTTATTTCTTCCCCAGCCAGGCTTTATTGCTTTGGGGGTATTATCAGTTTGTCAGCAGGTGTTTGAAATGGACTGAATCCAGTAGAGTGTAGAAAGGAGTTTTGTGATCTAGTTAGGGAGGCTATAATTGTGAAAGTGAGTAAGAATGATGTGATAAATGAATTCTCAGATGAGAGAGGACATTTATAAGTAGAAAAATCAGAAATATTTCTTCTTTTCCTTTTTGCCAGACAGAGTCTCACTCTGTCACCCAGATAGAGTGCCATGGCATCTTAGCACTCAGCAACCTCAAACTCTTGGATTTAAGTGATCCTCCTCCCTCAGCCTCCTGAGTAGCTGGGACTACAGGCATGTGCCACCACACCTGGCTAATGTTTCTATTTTATTTACTTTTTTTTTGGAGACAGAGCTTCAAGCTTTCCCCCTGGGTAGAATGCCATGGCATCACAGCTCACAGCAACCTCCAACTCCTGGGCTCAAGCGAGTCTCCTGCCTTTGCCTCCCAAGTAGCTGGGACCACAGGCGCCTACCACAACACCCAGCTATTTTTTGGTTGAAGCCGTTATTGTTGTTTGGTGGGCCCAGGCTGGATT